CGCGCCAGCAGGGGCCCGCGCTCAGCCGGCCCAGGGGGAAGGCCATGCTCCCGCGCTGTTCCCCAGGGCAGTGCCGCGTCCCCGCGATCGGCCCCGAAGCCCCGCGGGAATCCCGAGCCGACCCACCAGGCTGGGAGGGCACCGGGAACTTTTGGCGAAGAAAAGCAACTACCCCGCCTGGCTCCCGGGCTGCGGGTGGGCCGCGAGGGATTCTGGGAGCTGTAGTCCAGGCTCCTATGCCGCCTGCAAGGGTGAGGCCGGGAGATAAGGCGACAAATTTCTCCAGAAGGGAGTGTAGGAGGGGAGGGGAGCTGGGTGCCCGAGCACCGTGGGAGCATAGGCAGAGCTAAAAGAGGCGTTCCTGTAAAGTAGGTACAGCCCTAGTATGCTGTTCCGTCAACCAGAGGGAGAAGAGGAATTGGGCCAGACACCAGGAGTGACTCAGGCAAAAATAAGGCCAGAGACCCTCTCTCCCTAAACAACCCCTGACCTACATTTTCAAACAGGATTGCAAACCCTAGCTCCATTATCTATACAAGGCCCCTTCCTGCCCGGTTCTAGTCCCATAGAGCTTGTGGAGTCAGTAGGACTTGGTGGAACCTTGGGAAACTCCTTGCCTTAGGGCAGGTTTTTAAAGTAAGTGGGGAAAAGCTAGTGAAAGGCTCCCAAGAAATACTCGGAAAATACTTGCTGGGATCATTAATATCACAGTCCTGTGGTAGGCAGTTAGACAGGAACAGAGCAAGAAGGGTTGGCCAGGTGTAGAAGGATACCAGGAAAGCCCCAGGTGCCTGGCAAAGGACAATTGTAGGGTGACACCTCACTCCTCCTGGGTAACCTTTCATCCCCTTGCATATTGCTATATTGCTGGTCATGGGTGTTGTACCTCCCCACCCCCACCCCCACTTCTTTTCTCCCTAGAAATAACTCCACACCCAGAAAAGCAGCTAAACCAGACAAGTGACAACGTTTGACTGACCTCAGGACCAGTTGCATTAGATAATGACCCCCAACCCCGGGCTCAGACCAGTCATTCAGGCCTGGTCTGAAAAGGCCTAGAATATTCGATTGAAATCTTCCCCTGGGACCACCCCTAAAAATCTCCACACTTCCCCTGGGATGGCCCCTAAAAATATCCATTCTTAGGATGGAGACCCAGCTGGCTCTTCCTCCCAGAGTATGCCCATGTCTCCCCTCATATTCCCCCTCCACTTCCACCCAGGCATCTCACCTTTACCTTCCTCACTTCCAAGCTCCAAGGGCCCTTACACCATCAACTATGCCCAATTCTTTTACAAATTACTTTTACTTCTGTGATTTTCTAAATAAAGGTTCTCTTATATTTTGAGTCTTGGCTCTGAATTTTTTCCTTGCCAGAACTCAAGTACTGAGATGCCTGAACCCAGGTCAGGTCTGACCCCACGGGGTCTAACACCTGGTGCCTTTCCTAACATGGCCAATAATTCTATGATTAAAGTCTTTCCAGGCCTTGCTCCTACAGTGCCCACTTGATTATTTTAGATATAGGAAAAGCAAAGTGACTGTTTTACTAGACCCACATAAAATTCATGACCTGGTGTGTTGGGTGATCAAGGAATAGGAGATTTAAAACATTTTTCATCATCCAACAGTTGTAGGATGCTGCCAACTATTTCTCAGGTTTAGTACTTCCAACAACTCCTGTAAACTAAGCAGGACAAATATTCACATTTCCTCAACCTCCCACCCTAAACACATACATACACATACTTTTAAAAATGAGAAAAGCAGCTAACATAGACTTGATGGACAGATTTTTTTGTTCCTATTACCATATCACAGTTCCATGTTGTCTGGACATAAGAGTGTAAGAATGATTTTCACGGGCTAATTTGTCCCTAAGTACCCAGGATGATTTTAATTTCTAGTAGCAGATAATTTAAACCTCTGGTGGTGGTTTCTCCAGGTTGCTCTTGGTGGCTAGATGCAGTGATGGAACTTTCATGGCTATGCCCAGACCAATGGTTCAAGGTGGCATAGTTTATCCATCTACAACTGTGTCTGGCAGCTCTGACATGGGGACTCGATGTCAGTGGGGGAGCACACCTGGCTCTTTAGCAGGTTAATGAAAGGTAAAGGCCTGGATTGAGAAGTGAATAAACTACTTTGGGGAAGTTTTTTGTTTGTTTGTTTGTTTTTTTTGCCATAGTGTGGCTTCCTGGAAGGCTGAGTTGCGGGGTGGGGGAAGGAAAGATAAGAAGGTCATTCTAGGGAGTGTTGTTTGCCTGCTCTAGATGCCTGTGGTGAGGTTTGACTGGGCCTGGTGATAACATATACATCTCATCAAGAAGAAACCTCTCTGGCACATATGAAAAAAAAATTTTTTTAATTGATTTTAGAGAGAGAAGGGAGAGAAGGAAAGAGAGAAACATAGATTTGTTGTTCCACTTTTTTATGCATTCATTGGTTGCTTCTTGCATGTGCCCTGACAAGGGATGGAACCTGCAATCTGTTGTATTGTTATGATACTCTAATCAACTGAGCTACCCAGCCAGGCCATCTCTGGCCCATTATAAAGAACCCCCTTTTTTATTGCTCTGATTCTGAGACTACCCAGAAAGGTACTAAAAGATAAGCAGGCACAGGCCCTGTTGAATGCTTGTCCAGTCAGATAGGCTCATCTTGAGCCAGTTGGGTACTAGTTTCCAGGTTTCCATCCCTCTCCATCCTTAGCCTCTAGGCCAGTGGGTCTCAACCTTGGCTGCACATTAGAATCACCTGGGAATCTTTTTAAAATCCTGATTTCTGGGCCTCATACTCTGGAAATTCTGTTTCTTTGTTATGGGGTGGGGCAACAAAGAAACAAACTACATCATCCAGAGCCTGTTTTCCATACTGCCACTACTTAGAGATGCCTCCTTTTCAGGAATTATGCTGCTCTCAAGTGTAGGCATCAGAGGCAGTCCCAGCACCTTCACACCACCAGCCCCTTCCTACAGAGCTCCCCAGAGAAAAGGGTCTCCTAGACCCTCCTGCTGCAGGTGAGTTTCTTTATGGTCAAGTACTGGGTGGACTTCATCATTACATCATCTTCAACCCTAATACGGGCATATGTTTCAATTGTCCTGGTTGTTCAAACTTCTGTGGTCAGTTTTTATTGCCACTTTCAGTTTGTTGGTGCAAATCAGATCTCATAAAAGTACAATTAATACGATGCAAAATATTTGACAGAAGTATCATATGTTAACAAATTATTAATGAAAACGCTTTTCTCAAATAGAGTTCTTTTGTCATGAGGTCAATAATTCATAGAACAGAGAATTTGATATTTGATTTAATTAAAATGTGTAGATTTATACTTTTATTATATCTCAATACTTTTGAAACCAATGCTGCCAAGGACTTGGCATATTCTTTCTTTCTTTCTTTTTTAAAGAAACAAAACTGCTTTATTAAGGCAACTGCTTATGGTGAGTATAGGATTGATGATATTAAAAATTTTATCTAATTATTGCCCTAACCGGTTTGGCTCAGTGGATAGAGTGTCGGCCTGTGGACTGAAAGGTCCCAGGTTCAATTCTGGTCAAGGGCATGTACCTTGGTTGGGGACACATCCCTAGTGGGGGGGTGTGCAGGAGGCAGCTGATCAATGTTTCTAACTCTCTATCCCTCTCCCTTCCTCTCTGTGAAAAAATCAATAAAAATATATTTAAAAATTTTTTTTATTTAATTATAAAACCAAATTTGATTCTTGATAAACCTGCTGGCTTAGCATATTCTTTAGACAAGATACACCATGATGGAGTAGTCCTGTACTTTTACCTGTTTCCTACCTTTCATTTCAATTCTCAGAACTTCATGTAAGAAAATGTTTGTTAATTTTTAGGCATACTCTTAAGAAGCTTTTATTGTTAATACAATGTTTCAGTGTGATTTTTAAAAATTACTTTGGGTACACTTATTGAAAATCAAGTGATAATATATGTATAGATTTATTTCTAAACTCTATGCTGGTGTACTATATGTTCATATTTATAACAACTCAAAACTGTCTTGAATAAATTTAGAGTGGGTCTTGAAATCAGGTTTTTTTCTTATAAAAATTGTCCTTTGCATTTATATATATATATATATGTATATATATATATATATGTATATATATATACATATATATATTCATTTATCTTTTGACTCCATTTACCCATTTCTCTGGGTAAATTCATTCACCTGCTTCCTGTTCTGGCCACCTCCACTCTGTTTTCTGTATCTATAAGCTTGTTTTTGTTTATTGTTTTGCTTTTTAGCTTCCACATATAATAATGAACATACAATATTTGTTTTAGTTTGTTGGACTTATTTCACTTAGCACATGCTCTTGCGATCCATCCATGTTTCCCTAAATGGCAAAATTTTATTTGTTTTTACGGCTGAATAATATTCCACTGTATATGCATGTATATAAATACACAATTGCTTTATCCATTCATCAATTGATGGATACTTAGGTTACTTCCACATATTGGCTATTATTAATAACCCCAACACACATGAAAGTTTATGCTTCCTGATGATTTATTTTACATTTTTAGTCTCATCATATACTTGTTTGACTTCCATATTTTTGTTTGCCCTTTAAATGTTTGACCATTTACTCATTCCTTCACAGTGATTGGATATCTATTGATGACCTGCTACTTCCTCTTCTATGCTAGATGATGGCAACTCCACAGCACAACACAAGTGCCTTCAAGGAGCTCATGACCTAGGAGAGAAGGCGCAGATAAGCAAGCAGTTACAAAGGTGTGGAAAGAATTCCTATAACCACGGAGCACAAAGGTGGGGATACCAAACCCGGACTGAAAAGTCAGAAAACATGCTTCAGAGGAAAGGAAAGCTGCCCCGAGCCTGGGAGTAGGGGCTGCAGGACATGTGTGTAGGCACATGGGTTTCTGTAGATGCCATCCCT